TATATATTATTATTAATTATAGCCCATGATGTAAAATAGATCTCCAAAGAGTATTTCTTCTGTCTACCTGAAAATTTTCTACCTTTTTACCAACATCTCCCCATTTCAATCTTCTTTCTATCCCAGTCTCTGTAACCACCATTCTATGCCGTGCTTCCATTAGTTCATTTTTTTTTTCTTTTTTCTTTCTTTTTTTTTTTTTTTTTTTTTTTTTTTTTTTTTTTTTTTTTTTTTTTTTTTTTTTTTTGCATTCCACATATAGGCGAAATCATGCAGTCTTTGTCTCTTGGTGCCAGCTTATTTCACTAAACATAACGTCCTCCAGGTTCCATGTTGTTGAAAATGATACCATTTCTTAAGACTCAATAGTATTCCATCATGTACACGCACCATGTTTTCTTTTTGCATGCACCCATTGAGGAATATCTTGATTTTTTTATATGTTCATCAGTTGATGAATATATGTTGATTCTATATCTTGGCTATTGTGAATAATGCTGTGATGAACAAAGGAGAGCAGATATCTCTTCAATGTACTGATTTTCTTTCCTTTGGTTATATATCCAGAAGTGGAATTGCTAGATCACATGGTAGCTCTATTTTTAGTTTTTTGAAAAGCCCCATACTAGTTTTCATAATAGCTGTGCTAATTTACATTCCCACCAATGGTGTACAAGGGTCCTATTTTCTTTATATCCTTGCCATCATTTGTTATCTTTTCTCTTTTTTATAAAAATCATTCAAGGGCAGGGCGCAGTGGCTCACACCTGTAACCCCAGCACTTTGGGAGGCTGAGGAGGGGGGATCACAAGGTCAGGAGTTCGAGACCAGCCTGGCCAATGTGGTAAAACCCCATCTTTACTAAAAATACAAAAATTAGCCAGGCACGGTGGTGTACGCCTGTAGTCTCAGCTACTCAGGAGGCTAAGTCAGGAGAATTGCTTGAACCCACGAGGTGGAGGTTGCAGTGAGCCAAGATATGCCACTGACTCCAGCCTGGAGGACAGAATAGGACTTCATCTCAAAAAAAAAAAAGTCATTCTTACAGGCGTGAGGTGATATCCTTTGCACTCTTATACATAAATGAGAACTCCAAAAAGCTTTTTGTTCATATGAATTATATTTCTGCATATTTACATTAGAAATACAAACAGAATTTTTTAAGTTCTATTTAATTAATTAAAATAAAACCATTGTACGTTAACATAAATAATATAGTTTTATTTAAACAAGTAACTATTTTCTAAAACAAAAACAATTACTTAGAAGAGTTCTATTGTTTTGACTGTTTGCAAACCTCTGCAATTTTTGCTAAATAAAAGACATCTGGATTCTTACATCTACTTTTCCTGAACCTGTTGTAATATGTTGCTTTGATTTAAATATATGGGAAAAAACGGCTTCTTACAGATACTTAGTTGGAAAAGGGAGGATTCTGCAGATTCTCTAAAAAGGTCTCAGGAACCTCCAGGACCTCTCTAATCTATTCACGGATCATTGTTCTACTACAAATTGTATAACTCTGAGTGACAGCAGCAAATCTTAGTTTCTTGGTAACCAGAAACTCTAATGGTGCATCCAGCCATCTTTTTGTTTGGCTCCTGCCATCTCAAAACCAATATATATGATAAACATGGAACATTTTTTTCCTCTTTCCAATAATGATTAGGTTTTTTTCGCTTTTTTATTTAATTTATTTAATTGCAGTGATGAATCCAAATCAGGCTGTTCTCTATCACTGAATAACACCTAATAGGTCCTCAACAGATGTTTGATAATAGCAACAGGCATCATTTCTTATTGATGTTTACATTTTTCAGCCAGCTCTGATTGTGGCTTGAACATACACAGACTTCATGCTGCTAAGCTTCTGTCTGCCAGCAGAAATATTTTTTTCCCAGAAATACACACTTTGATTCCAAGATTCTCCATTACTACAGGACAACTGAATTCAGAGAGAAGCATCATTTTTTAAAAGTTTCAGGCCGGGCACGGTGGCTCACGCCTATAATCCCAGCACTTTGGGAGGCCGAGGCGGGTGGATCACGAGGTCAAGAGATCGAGACCATCCTGGTCAACAAGGTGAAACCCCGTCTCTACTAAAAATACAAAAAAACAAATTAGCTGGGCATGATGGTGCGTGCCTGTAGTCCCAGCTACTCGGGAGGCTGAGGCAGGAGAATTGCTTGAACCCAGGAGGCGGAGGTTGCGGTGAGCCGAGATCATGCCATTGCACTCCAGTCTGGGCAACAACAGCGAAACTCCGTCTCAAAAAAAAAAAAAAAAAGTTTCAAGTGCTAGAAATATTGGAAGCCACTTAGCTGTGATATCTTAATACTCTCATGACAACATATCAAAAATGTGCATGAAATTTTTTTAATTTTTAGAATAATTTTTAATTATCATTAATGCTTCCAGGAGTTGAGATCAAATCACAAACTAAGTTTGTTGCCATAGCTTCCTGATTAAAGAAGAAATTGACTTTGTTGCACGCTAACTAGATAAGATGCAGCCACTAGTGGGGAGGAGGAAATAATCAGACCTGTCAGGAATCTAAGATACCTACTAGGGAATGATATGTTTGCTCAAAACACAGTTTGCACTTTTCAAAAGGCAGCAGCTGTAGTAGGGCAGCTTTTCACAATTAGCTTCCATCCCCTGGTGTGAGACAGGTGTGCAACCTCCTTTTCTCTCCAACCTGTGTCCTCTCCTCTCTACTGCCTGGTTATACATTAAAGGAGCCCTTCTGTCTATCTCAAAGAAGATGGAGGGCACCTCTCTGAATTATTAATGCCACCAAGGCCTGCTAATGGAGCTCCCTGGCTCTTCTCTTCAAAAGGAGCTGTGTTTTGCAGATCTCATGAAGAGAATATTTTTGGCAATTAGGGTATACGGAATGCTCCACTTCCACGCTTGCTTTAGAGGACAGACTACAGTAAAAACCAGAGATGATTAGACTTCATAGTTACATATTTGGTAACATGTAGTTCCTACTATGGTTCTATTAATGAACTCCTTCTTTATTTTTGTTCCTCTAAATATTTTTGTCAAATATATTGAGAAAAAACTGAATAATGTTCATGCATTTTATGCACATGGTATGCTCATAGTTGTATAAGCACCTACAACAGATTTCCTCATCACAGCATATTATCTGCAAGAATAATTTGCTCTCACCTGAGTCCCTATGTAAGTTTCAACGACCATAACCCACTGTCAGATAAATAAGTAGTGCTCAGTTACCCCAAGTGGGCCCACCCATCTTTCACTGGTAAGTCCCAGGCCCCAAGCAGGAGCCAGACGGAGACAGTGTAAATCCAAGGGAATTTCAGGAGTGCAAGAATACGGACGCACAGGTGACCATGCCACTTGAGCTGTTTGCATTTGTGGTTTCTAGAGCCAAATATAAGTGTTTTCAGATTATTCGTACATTCTCTCCTCTAGTCTATGGCTACTAGAATGTTTTTGGGTGAGCGAGGAAGTGTGGATCAAAATAAGCTCCCTTTCCACCCAATTCTCCAGCATTCAATGTGTTATCAAATGCACACCATGAACCTCTCAAAATGGCTTGAGCCCCACCGCTACTCTGGGATGCAAGGTACATCAAGGCAAGTTGTCTGCAGTCAGGTACATCAAGGCAAGCTGTCTACAGTCAGTCCCACCTGGGAACATCAGCCCCTGGGAGTCAGGAGCTCCAGATACAAGCAGAGATCCAGCCTTGTGGTAACTTTCTCCTCCATCTGATTGATGCTCGTTGGTGGCTTCCCATTGCTCTCCAGATAAGGACCCAAAACCCTTTCAGGTCCTCCTGGCCCTGGCCCTGCTCCTCTTCAGCCTCATCTTCTGAAATGCAGACACCAAGCCTTCTTTCCCTTCTTTACAGTGTCCCCTCCTAATCCAGGACAAGTGGGTTCTCTGGAACCATTCCCAGCTGGCCTCCCAACTAACACCTACTCATCTTTCAGATATAGCTGGGGCATGAGTTTCTCAGAAGAGTGTTCTCAGAGCCTCCAAACTAGGTGATAAACCCCCATGATGTCCTCTCATAGATCCCTCATCCTTCCTCCATGTAAGTTATCAGAATGTTTGTTACTATTTATTCGTCACTTGAGTAATCTGCAGCTCCCTCACATTAATACATAACACTTGTTGAGCATTTTATATATGTCAGGTGTTTATTCATATGTTTTTCATTATTAAATCCTCTTAGCTCTATGAGGTAGGTGCTATTATCATCTCAACCTCTTGGATAATGAATTTAAGTCTCGTGCCACCCCCAAGCCATGTGGTCTTGATGTGTTACTAACACCTGTCTGGATTGTCTACCTCTGGCCATCTTTCGCATGAGACAGAAATAAACTTCTATCTTGTTTAAATCAGTGTATTTTATAATTTTTCTATTTTGTGCATTTAATCCAATCAAAGTTTAATTAACACAGGTGCTAATATAATTCTGTTACCTTCTTGGAACTATGGGTCTATGCTATTTTAACAGTCATAGCAACTCATCAGACTTCATCCATGAATCTGGCAATCCAGAATCCTAAATCCCATCTTCATTTTCTGCCATATCTTTTTTTTTATTTGAGACAGGGTCTCTCTCTGTTGCCCAGGCTGGAGTGCAGTGGTACAATCTCAGCTCACTGCAGCCTTGATCTCCCGAGCTCAAGAGATCCGCTACCTCAGCCGCCTGCATAGCTGGGACCACATTCATGTGCCACCACACCAAGTTAGTTTTTCTTTATTTTCTATACAGATGTAGTCTTATTATGTTATCCAGGCTGATTTCATACTCCTAGGCTTAAATAATCCTCTCACCTCAGCCTCCCAAGGTACTAGAATTATAGGCATGAGCCACCATGCCTGGTTCATATCTTGTATTTTACTGATACAGCCAGTGCTTGACTTTCGACCACGATTGGGACCGGCAGAACGGCCGTAACACAATTTTGTCGTAAGTTGAGTAGGCTATATGTACAGTTGAAATGGTGCACACGGAGATGGTAGTACTGCTGGAAGCTGGTCCGCACTGTCGTACGCCCAGCTGGGCAACGTTTGCACTGCCAGACGCGGAGCAGTCGTGGCTAGCGATTGTGGTCGTAAAGTTGAATGGTCGTAAGTTGCATAGGTCGTAAGTCGATCAATACCTGTAGTTTGCATCCTAACTGAAGATACAAGTATGATTCATTAGCTCTGCTATGCTTTTTATTTTATTTTATTTTATTTTATTTTATTTTATTTTATTTTATTTTATATTTTGAGACAGAGTCTCTCTCTTTCACCCAGGCTGGAGTGCAGTAACACAATCTTGGCTCACTGCCACCTCTGCCGCTCAGGTTCAAGTGATTCTCGTGCCTCAGCCTCCTGAGTAGCTGGGACTACAGGTGTGTGCCACCACACCCAGCTAATTTTTGTATTTTTGGTAGAGACAAGGTTTCACCATGTTGGCCAGGTGGTCTCAAACTCTTGGCTTCAAGCAATCTGCCTGCCTCAGCCTCCCAAAGTGCTGGAATTACAGCACAATGAGCCACTGTGTCCAATCTTTCACTATACTTTTAAATGTCCTTGTCAGTACTTGTCTGCCTGAAAAGCCCTTCAGTTTTTTTTAAATTGTATTAGTGAGTTCCCTAGCATGATATTATTGCAAAACAAGAAAAGGTAGTAACTAATTAGCAGAGTCAGCACAGTCCTGTGAACTCAGTTGAGAGTCAAGTCGTTCAATTATGCAGTGAAATCTTTCAATTAACTATCATCTGAACACAACACTTCATCTTAGTAGCATGCTGCTCATTGTCAGGATGCTAGGCAAAATAAATGAATCAAAATAAATATCTTTCTTCAGAAGTTACCAGGCAAGTCAGCAACATCCAAGCTTTGCACATGAACATCTATTGAGTGTCTACTATATTTGAGGTACTCTGTTAAGTAGTAGGATCCCCTCCAGAAAAAATCATGGAATGACACAGCCAATGCCCTTTAAGTTATAGCATGATAAAGGGAGGTAAGACCAACATATGAGAAGGGAAATAGTGTTATGAAATAGACAAGACTGTCTATAGTATGTTGCAATGGAATGCTGGTTACACATATACCTTTTTAATCACATCTACACATATATAACAAAGAAGAATGTATTTTGACTTGTGTTTAGACATTCTATTTCCAGAACCCTCATACACGTAATGTTTATTTCTTAAAATCATCAAAGACCTTTCAAAGCAGTGTTAATGAACCTATCCTACATGAATGGATTAAAGATAATTGCTATAGCTTTACTTCCCTAAGCAAGACTTCCTCCAACCCTAACACAATTCCAATTACCCATCACCGTGACTGTCCTACAGGAAGTGTCCAACAAATATCATGCATTGATAGTTTGCAATGAGTTTCTTTCATCATGTGTTCTTACCACGAATAATAGATGAGCAAGCTAAATACAGTTCCTGAACTTGCAGACTAGTGAGGGTTAGAGACAAGTAAACTGGCAAATGCAACATGTTCTGTCAATGTAATGGTGTAGGAAGCACATCATGCTATAGAGCAGATGAAAGAGTGCTTCACACAAGCTTGAAAGGATCAGAATAAGTATTAGCAGAAAATGGAATTGGCTAGGCATGGTGGCTCATGCCTGTAATCCAACTGCTTTGGGAGGCCAAGGTGGGCTGACTGCCTGAGGTCAGGAGTTCAAGACCAGCCTGGCTAACATGGTCAAACCCCAAATCTACTAAAAATACAAAAATTAGCCAGGTATGGTGGTGCACGCCTGTAGTCCTGGCTACTCAGGAGGCTGAGGCAGGAGAATCTCTAGAACCCGGGAGGCAGAGGTTGCAGTGAGCAGAGATCACACGATTGTACTCCAGCCTGGGCAACAGAGCAAGACTCCATCTCAAAAAAAANAAAAAAAAAAAAAAAAAAAGGGAGAGAAAATGGAATCTAGGTGGAGGGCTAATGGCTGAGAAGAACGAATCCAGAGCAAGGGAAGTCAGCCATAGGTGAGTTTTTTGTTTTTTTTAAGCAAGAAAAAAACATGATCAAATGGGCATTCAAGGGATATAATTCAGCTGCAGCATGGGAAATAGATTACAAAGGAACAAGGCTGAAGTCATAGAAATCAGTTAGAAGGCTGTTGCATCTGTAATCCCAGTACTTTGGGAGGCCGAGGTGGGCGGGTCATGAGGTCAGGAGATCGAGGTCATCCTGGCCAACATGGTAAAACCCCATCTCTACTAATACAAAAATTAGCTGTATGGTGGTGCATGCCTGAAATCCCAGCTACTCGGGAGCCTGAGGCAGGAGAATGGCTTGAACCCAGGAGGTGGAGATTGCAGTGCGCTGAGATCGTGCCACTGCACTCCAGCCGGGCAGCAGAGGGAGATTCTATCTCAAAAAAAAAAAAAAAGAAGAAGAAAGCTGTTGCAGAGATCCAAGTAAAAGATGATGGTGATGGTAGCCTCATAGAAAGTAACGGCAAAAGAAATTGGTGAAAATAAATTTCAATAGTTTCCCAAGATATTTAGGAGCTGGAATCAATAGGACTCAGTCATTCTTTGGATGAAGAAAAAGCAGTCAAGAATGAATATAAGATTTCTGGATTAGAGATAGATATGGATGCTGATATCAGTGGGATAAGCGGGAAGAACAATATGTGGGGGAAACGAAGCGTGAAATGTTGGTCTTATGGAGGTGCCAGTGGGACATGTCAGTGTCTCTATAGATGTGAGGGGCCTACAGTTCTGAAGGTCAGGTGAGGCACCTGGGCTACAGACAAGGACTTGGAAGTGATCAGCCCGGAAGTGAAATGGCAACTGGGAGCCAGAAAAGTGGTTGAGATAACCCAGGAAAACTGTACAGAGAGAGAAAGGAGGGCCTAGAGTAGAACCCTGAGAAACACCAGCATTTAAAGCAAGGGAATAGACAATCCCCCAAAAACTGTGTCTCAGACACTGAGGAAAGAGAACCCTGCAATCAGCCCAAGTTTGGAATTCCAAGACCTCTAGTCAAATGGTAGCAATTCTGAAAATGCCCAGTGGTTCAGCCTAACTGGGCCAGTCTTGGGTGCCAGCAGAATGAGTCAGGCCAGGAAAAGCCAAAGCTGGTAATTCCAGGAGACCATGGAATTGGAAAGAACTCTGAAATCTAAATGAATAAGAGGTCTGGAAAGATAAATACAATGGAGCACATTAGTCCAAGTAGGAAAGCCTAGGCAAGCCAAACACTGTAAAACAGAGATCAGAGCAAAGTCCCCAATCAGAAGACATAAATCCAGCTGGGAGGGAAGGCTTGAGAAAATGTGTGTGGTTGTGTGTCTATTGAAATGATTAAATCTCAGTGTAATTAAGTGCTGTGTATGATTTGTATACAACACATCTTCTTTCCTCTAAGACCTCTTATTCTAGGAAAATTCTCTTTTTAGAAATATCTGTTACTGGTGCTGAGTAAGGTCTCTTTTGCTAACGTTTAATAATACATATCATATTAGAAATGATTTATTTGCTTATATTAAGAAAGTAATTTTAATATTCAGCAAAATGACCCCAATCTCCTGTGCCTTCTATAATAAAAAAAAGTTTAAATATCTTTTAAGGCTATTGAGGAATTACTACTAAATTTGGGGGGAAATTTAGAATAATTTAGAATGTCCAACACAGCCACCTAATTAGATGTGGCCTTTGAGAGTATATGGAGGTATTCATATTAGTCCACCCATGACACTGAAAAGTCAAACCACCAAGTCCTGGTATATCCAACATGTGCTTATGAAATGTCCAGAGTGCTTATGTGTAAGTTATCCAGAGTTATCTGCTTTTTTAAAAATTAATAAAATATAAAGCACAAGGAGGTTAGCATATCATATAAAGATTATTTTATGCATTGAAGTAGAGTTTTAAAGTACAGACATTTTTCAGGCTTAAATTAAAGAAGCTTAACCTTCTTTGATGTCATAGTAGTCAAAATAATCGCAGTTGACTGAATCAGCAAAACCAAGTTTATGCAGAAAAAGCATTTCCTAGGAGAGCAACCCCTCTCTCTGACTAGGCTGGAAAAACCATATCCATGACCGGAGATTCAACCTCCTCCCAGTCAGTTGCCCATCCGAGGCCGAGACAGTCGGGAATCTCATACTTCTGTGTTGCACACTGCCATCTACTGTGTCTCTGCAGCAAGTGGAACCTCAGACTTTCTGATCCTAGACCTTGATGGTGAGCAGGAAACCAATCAATGAGCATCACTTTCCTTCCTTTCACTTGTGGGAGGTTTTGTAAATGTCAGGAAGAGATGCAAATGAGAGATGCGCACATATGCAGTTCCGTCAATGGAGATCCGTGAGGTGATGATTTTAGGAATGGGACGGTAAAATGAGACAAGAAATTTCCTCACTGAGGAAAATCAGTTTATAAAATTTGTAATCAATTTCTTGGCATCAAGGAGAACAGGCAAAAAGACATCCTGCTTTTTTTAATGTAATCCCAAAGCATACAGCTCTAATTAAGATGACGAAATTATGTATATGTGGAAAAAATAAAGCATTCATTCCAATCTGTTTTACTTATAAAATAAATATTTGTATAACATTCTTCTAGTATGATTTGGCATCAGTTTTTTTTAAAGGTCAACAGCTTGCATTTAGTCTATACTCTCCTATTCTCAATCTTTGTACCCAACTTCCTGCCGTTTCTCTGCAGCAGTAAGATCAAAGAAAAGCAGATTGTGCACTATACTGAACTATCACACACAGGCTTGTTAGCTGAGCTTTTTAGCAATTGTGATAGATCAGTGGAGAGGGAGAGATTTTCATAGGATTTCATTATGAATTTAATTCACCAAGTCACCCATACTACTAACTGAATACTGGGTGGGTTTCAATGTAATAGGTGTTCATAAGCTGCACTTAGTACATGGTTGGCACACAGCTAGTACCTAATTCTGGTGACCTCTTGTGAGGCCAGGTTTACTAGGATTCGGCCGGCTGCCGAAAAGCACTGTGCATTAACAGAGAGCTTAAAACTCCCAATTCCAAACACATTTGTTCCTAATATTATAAACATTGGTTTTGTAAAATCTAAGGAGAATAACGAGATGATTCCTTCAGCAGGGAAGTAAGCATTCAATCCCTAGGAAACAAAAGCGTCT